AAAAAAAAAAGACCGTACCCTTTTATGTAATGATGTTTACTTTGAATTTATATTAGTTCACACAAACACTCCATCCATGCTTTTGTTCCGGCCCTCCGGTCCAGTTTAAGAACCCATTGTGGCCCTTGAGTCAAAAAGTTTGCCCACCCTTGGGATAAGGAATGAGGCAAAAAGATTGCTAGAAAATCTTAAAAAATTAGATATTTTTGCACTGAGTGGCAGTTTGAAGTTTTATTGTAACCTTTCTTGAGAAATTATTGAAGAAGGTACTCGCGCAAAGCAAAGGAACTAAACAGAGGATGAAGACATGGGGGCGAGGAAGCGGGGAATTCTACAGATGTATGTGTCATCCACACGATGGTGAAGGGAGATCCTGAGACAGTAGCCCTGTGCATAGCAGCTGGAAGGCCAGGCTTCCCTGGAGTGGGGCTGAGGCTCCAGGAAAGATTTCCCTGGTGAGATGAGCACAGGTGCTACGTTGGAAGATATTAAGGAATTTACAAACTAGTGAGTTTAAGAATAAATCTGAGAGATACATAAAGAACAGAGTACTAGAAAAAAAATTAATGTCTAGGGAAAACAAAGTTGTATAAGAAAGGAATAAGTATAATCACATGGTTCAGCTGTAAGTGGAAACACAGAACTAAGGAATAAAATCATGGTGTTGGAAGGTGGAAGAGTTGGAAAATAGTGGAATAGAATGGGATTAAGCAGGGTGAAGTCTAAATGCTCATATTCTATGGTAGGAAATAGTAAGAAGTGATGTCTAAACTGAGGGATTACAGCTCATGCAGGTAGAGGTAAAACATTTTACCTGCAAGAATCCAAGTGGTTGTGGGAGTAACGAGAGTGTAGTGGGAAAGCAGGAAGCCTTAAGCAGCCTGTGGAACTTCTTGTCATTAAGTTGTGCGTGACCGTTTTAAAAGTAAACTAAGATACAGGCCAGGCCAATAATGGGAAGAGTAGACTTTTTGAATTTGAAATGTGAGAAGTCAGTCTTCTTGATGAGAAATGTTTAGGGTCTTAGGCAAGCAAGAAAATAATTAGAAATAGAAAGATCAAATAATTATAGAGTACTTACAGCATGCCATGCAATGCCGAACACTTGACGTGTAGTTAATTCATTTACTCCTCAGTGGTTGCATGATATTATTATTATGCCCATTTTATACAGATCTTAACAGAGAAGTTAAATAACTTGTCTGAGGTTACCACAGCTAGTTAGTAGAGCCAGCATAGAGTCAGAAGGGCATCAGGACATTTGTTAGATCTAAACTCTGGTTAACTACCTTTGTGACCTTGGCTAAGTCCCTGAACTTCTTAATGTGTATTTTTCTTACCTAACGTTTTGTATGAACTATGTTCTTTACTATTTAAAGACTACAGTGAAAGTTAAACTTCTTGAGTACAGCTTGGGCTTTATCATACAGTCTTCGATATGTAGTGTTTACTCACTGTCCTTTTTTTTTTTTAATGGCTTATCCATTTTAACTTCCTCTTTACCCCCAGTGTTTTGGGGTGTTCTTTAAGTGTTAATCTCACACACCAGGTACCATTAGTCACCTCTTTAGGAATCAGGAAACGGAAGCTCAGGGAGGTTCAGTGATGTCCAAAGTCACCGCACAAGGCTTGGGAGCCTCACTCTGGACGGCTGGATGCCAGAGTTGGTTCCCTCCTGTTGCTGAGAAGCAGCGCAGAACAGTAGTTTGGCAGATACTCTTATTCATAACTGGCACTATGCAACCGGGTACATGTACATATTTTGTGAAAAAATGGGTTAGTATAAAGACATACTGTCTGCTTGCTTTCTGGTAAATGATGGGGGGACTTGCCTTAAACATGTTCCTTTGTACTGGCTCTGGTTCTTGGTGTAAGCTTGGGAGGGAGAGTTAACATAATTGCCTTAGGCCTGGCAATTATAAAACACTTGTACATTTTTCTTTACGGTATGGTTGTTTGGGGAGTAGAAATGTTTTTCCTCTCTGGAATGTTGCTGTTTGCATTAATGACGATGTACCTATGTCATACAAAACTTTTTTCTTTTTGAAAGGCCACGTCCATTCCAAATTTCTCCTACATGGGAGCTCGCCTGTGTAATTACCTGTCCCATCACCTGACAATTAGCTCACAGAGTGGCAACTTCCGCCAATTGCTACTTCAAAGGTCAGTGTGAATATATGAAATTAAAGGAAAACTACTTTTGAAGGTACTAGAATTTGACCATTCCTTTTTCCCAAAGACTGTACATTATAGAAAGTTGCAGGGGAGAAGAGAACAGACCATTCTTACTTAAACAGTATTAAAAGTTTACATATATCAGTCTTTGTCTGTAGTGGTCTCTGCCTTTGATTTTATGTTTAGAAAAGCCTTTCCCAAGTTCTTAAAAATGATCCCATGTATTTCTTAATGCTTTTGTACTTTGGTTTAAGCAAGGATCTGATTTATTAATTGCCATGTGTTTAGCCAGTTTTTCCCATACCCCTTTTTTTGAAACGGTCCATTTCCCTGTTGATTTGAACTGCTTGCTACCTTTATCACACCATATCCTTCTATTAGGGTTTTGATTCTGGACTTTCATTATATTCCATTCATCATTTGTTTTATTCCCATGCTGTTTTTTAAAAGCTCTAATTTTTAATGTCTGGTCTAGTTAGTTCCCCATTGTTTTGTGGAATTTTCTTTGCTATTGCATGCTTTTTTTCTCCAGTGAACTTCAGAATCAGCATGTGAAATTATATAACTCTTGTTGGTATTTATTAGGTATTTTTTGGATGACACTGAATTCATAAACTAATTTGGGGGAACTAACTTTCTTATATTTTGAGTTTTATTCAACAACAAGGTTGTCTGTGTTTATTATAGTTCTCACGTTAGTTCTTTAGAGATACTTTGAATGGTTGCACAGTGTGGTTAGCCTGCATGGGAACAGAATGAAGATGCAGAAGTAACTTCAGCAACACATGGAAATCAAGCTTACTGGTGGTGGCTTAGGTCCACGTGCATGAGAGAAAGTGTGCTGCCAACACAGCTGGGAGAGCAGCAAAGCAAAGATGGGCTCCTGCCTCTTCACACCAAAATATATTTCAGATACAACAGAGATTTAAATGAAAATGAGACAGTAAATAATAGGCGGAAATTGTCAACAAAAATCATAGGTTGGTAAAACCCTTTTAAGCAAGACATGATGCCCACAGGCCCTGAAGCAAGAGATTAAACTTAATTACACATAGGTTATAATATTTGGGGGGGGTCATAAGTTTATATGAACTAAAGTAAAAATATATAACACAGGGTAATAACCTCATTTATTTAATACTAGAGGCCCAGTGCATGAATAAAATTCATGCACTCGGTGGGTGGGGGAGGGGTGTCCTGTACCCTGCCCTGCAGTCCAGGAGCCATCAGTCAGACATCCTTAGAGCTGCTGCAGAGGCGGGAGAGGCACCCACCACCGCTGCTGTACTCACTAGCCGTTGAGCCTGGCTTCTGGCTGAATGGTGCTCCCCCTGTGGGAGTGCACTGACCACCAGGAGGAAGCTCCTGCGTTGAGCGTCTGCCCCCTGGTGGTCAGTGCACATCATAGCAACTAGTCATTCTGCCGTTTGGTTGATTTGCATATTAGCCTTTTATTCTATAGGATGAAAAGAGAGGCCTGTTAGGAATAAGTAAGAAAAAGACTAGTATGTCAATAGAAATATTTGGAATGGCTCTGAATGGGTACAGTTTGGAAAAATATAAATGACAAAGTTATGAAAAGATATCTAACCTTCCCTGTAGTTAAGGAAACGCAAATTAAAGCTTCTGGAAAGATGTGAAGCAGGTACTTCCAGGAGTAGGATGGAAGGAAGGTCGCCCTTCTCTGCTGCTCACCCTGGCAACGCAGTGAAAGGACTGAGCCGCTGCCTCATGCTGGGAAATTCCAGCATGATGGACTGAGGTGGAGCCCGGCATGGTTTGTTAAAGCTTCCCAAGGGTTCTTTCATATGGCTGTGGTTGAGAAGCCCTCTTCCCATTCTTCTGACTCTGTCCCATGTATGCTTCTGTAGTATTGATACTGTTAGATGTCAACACAGAAAATGCTAATCATATAACTAGTGAAAAGCAGGGCATAGTCTACTACCTAACTTCACAGTATATACACACTTGAAGAAGACAGAAGTTACCTTCACAGCAGTTGTCGCTGGGTTGCAGTGACTTTGTTATTTTTCTCTGCTTTAACCTTTCTGAAATAAGCATGTGGTCCTTTTATAGTTGAAACTCTTAAACTTAAAAAGGATTAGGTTCTTTTCTCCCATCCAGATAATCAGCCATGTACAGGAGTAGGAATTTGCTTTTGCACATACATTCACATATCTTAATGCATAATAGCTTAGCGTTTATAAAACAAAAGGAGGTCATTTCAAAGATTTTACCTTCAAAGTCGTAAAAGAAAGGTCAGAGAAAGGAGAATAGTTAGCAAGGTGCCGGGATAACTGAATTGGCATTAATTAACTGATCCTTTCCATTATTAACCACAGTGTTCTATTTATAGATATCCCAACTTTTTCCTGGTGAGGAATTAATATGTATGAGAAGGTAACAAATACCTTCTGTCTCTGACTCGCACAGAAGATGTTGCTCATTTAATGCAGCTTGTAAGCATCGGAATCAGCCACATAGGCGCCCAGTAAGCTGTCCTGAGTGTATTTATTTATTAATCTACATTAATAAAAGACAAACATGCAAATTGACCATACCTTTGCTATGCCTTAAGCCATGCCCACCAGCCAATCAGAGTGACTATATGCAAATTAACCCAACCAAGATGGCGGCCGGCAGCCACAGAGCTAGAGCAAGCAGGAGTCTTGGTTGCCCCAGTGATGGAGGAAGCCAAGCTTCCTGCCTGCCATGGCCAGCTCTGAGGTCCACTCAAGGCAACAAAGTTTCAATTATAGAAGATAAATAAACCCCAGAAACTTGCTTCCAGCCAGCCATGGCCACAGAGCTGGAGCGAGCAGGAGGCTTGGGTTGCCCCTGGCGATGGAGGAAGCTAAGCTTCCCACCCGCTCTGGCTGGCTCTGAGCTCCATTCAAGGCTATAAAGTTTCAATTATAGAAGGTAAATAAATCCCAGAATAAAATAAAAAAAAGAGGCTGGGAGCTTCCATCACTGGGGGGCTTGGCCAGCCTGAAAACGGCCCTCAGCCCCTCACCCAGACTGGCCAGGCACCCAAGTGGGGACCCCCCACCCTGAAGGGGCTGTGGCCAGCCTGCAAACAGCCATCAGCCCTCACCCAGGCTGGCCAGGCACCCCAGTGGGATCCCCCACCCCGAAGTGGGTGTGACCAGCCTGCAAACACCTGTTAGCCCCTCACTCAGGCTAGCCAAGCACCCCAGCGGGACCCCCACCCTGATCTGGGACACCCTTCAGGGCAAACCAGCTGGTCCCCACCCGTGCACCAGGCCTCTATCCTATATAATAAAAGGGTAATATGCAAATTGACCCGAACAGCAGAACGACTGGGAATGACTGGTCACTATGACACACACTGACCACCAGGGGGCAGATGCTCAATGCAGGACTGCCCCCTGGTGGTCAGTGCGCTCCCA